GCGAACTCCTTTGATACAGTATGAATTGAGCACGAAATGGCTACACTTGAGTGACCGGGGATTGAAAAAAAAACAATAAGAAAGGAGATAAGGAGATGATAGTATTAATAATTATTGGTAGTCACCCTGAGAAACCAAAAACTGACATGATACTCAGAGCAGTGCTTGAGAAAGAGCTTAATTAACTATAACAACTGTACACTAGAATGCTATACATACATGGATTCTGCCAATGAAGACATTTTCAAATCGACACGTACAAAATGAGCGAAATACTCGGACAATTCGTCTACCTCGCCATCAGGTGTAGGTGGTCGTGCGGCTTGAACGCTACATGCCACTGGTATATCTCGCCTGGAATGTACAACTATTTTAATAAATCGCCTGAAGGAGGGAGACTGATTTAGTGCACAGAAAAATGACCTGTCTAGTAAGCAAAAACGGAGAATTTCCACGTCAACGTCTTCAGGAAAGCGTACTTGGCTCATCGTTGAGTACAACTCGTCAGGTAGTGGAGTGATCGGTTGCTTCCTTAATGAAGATAGCTGTTCAGCTTCGTTCATACTTTGCGTCAGCGTTTTGCGCGACCAGGAAAGTATGGGTATCGATCTCGCCTTTTCAACGACCGCCACTTTTTGAGCGTTTCTCGGATAGTTTCAAACTTTTCGCAGACAGTCGCTGAAAAGGCTAGCATGCGCCTGAAACCCTAGATCGATATCTAACTCTCCTATAAACGCTGGCGTACGCGCAAAACGCTGACGTAAAGTATGAACGCTGCCCTACTTTCTATATAAGACATGATGAAAAAAACAACAGCTTTAATTTTCCCAAGTTAAAATAACGAAGAGGTAATTATTGAATGGAAACTCATAAAGAAATTAGAAAAAATTTACCTGGGGACCGAATATGGAGTCCACTTGCAGCGTCGCCTCCACATAGCTTGACGGTATTCCTTCACTTTCACAGCTTCCTGTTTTTCATTTGTATTCTTCTCTTCTTGTGAGTTGGACTAAATTAATGAAATACAAATACATAAATCATTATAGGTGAAACTACTGGTTCATTTATTTTGAGGCGTAGTTACAGTCCTGTTCGCTGCCGATGATGAGGCGTGTCAGAGAGTCCGGCTTTGGCGCGCAGTCAACCCGTTCTCCACCACTTGTTGAACCGTGTAAGCGACAACAACTGGTGGAAGATGACTGAGAAGAATACAGTTTTGCTGCTCGCTCACTTGAACGGCTAGTGAAAACGGGTTTGGGAGGTGCCAAACCCATCCCCGATTTTCGAACCCCTTCATCCGCAGTGAACAAGACTGTACTGTATCGCGGGACATATTTTTATCATTTTTAATGGATTGTAAATGCTCATAATAAACAGCCACTGCTACAGATTGGCTTTCGTATTCGCCGCTAGCTCCTGTATTCGTGAGCGTTGACCAAGACCTAGTGCAGGACGTAAAATCAAGCCCAACCGGGAATGGCAGAACGCTTGGAATCCCCGACACAAGGATAAGATACGAGCGTATAGATTGCCTGAGGCTAAGAAATCGGAAAAAGTGGCAGTTAATGGTACGGACGTTGTCTAGATCATTAGCAGAATCAGGAAATGGAAATTAAAACAACAAGGAAGACTGGAGCAAAAAATCATAAAGTGTCGAAAAAAATATAGTAACGAAAACACCCGAAGGATAGAAGAGAATCTCAAGTTAAGGGATCATGAAGGAAAGTTTGAAGATCGAAAGCAGTCCGGGTCGGGAGGGTGTGGGAGCATCGTAAACTTGTTTGAAGCCTCGAATGTACTGAGCTTCAGCCGCACTTTGGCGACGGGGTGGGGGAGGCATTGTGCATATTCACTGCTTCCCATGTCGTGTTCATTGCTTTGCTAGAGTAGGCAAGTAATAATTACAAACTGAGAATGGTACTTCCTAATGGCGTCACAAAACGCCACAAATCTCTACACGGTGGCTCGACATGACAATGGAAGCGAAAGCGCAAAATGCTATACCCCTCCCCTTCCTCGCGTCACCGAGCTGCGATGAGTTTCGTTTTCGAACGGTTTTTGCTCAGTGTGATTCACCCACTTCGGAGATCCATAACGCCCCCCCCCCCTAGACATAGGCGAAAATGCCCGGATCGATGAGATAAATGCACGTGTTTTTCGTGCATAATACCAGCGAACATAAGATAGAAGTGAACCCCCACAAACCTGTAGCATTACAGGAGTTCATAGGTCTTCACAAAATCGGACAGCAAATTGATAAGAGTTCGACAAACGTTCCCCGCCTTCCACCCCAATCACTTCGCTCTAGCACCCGACGAAATGCGAAGTGGTAGCCAGGATGGTCAGGAGGAAGATGTCTAGCGAGATAAAGTTTGGGAATATACGATAGAAGATCCAAGAGAAGCAAACAGAACAAGAATCAAGTACATCAAGAAAAGCGAGAAACAGAAAGAAGAGAGTTAGAGGTTAGAGTAAGGGAACAATTTCCAGCTACGATGATAATGAGAGCTGATGCGCTGTGTATTTCTGTAAGGAAGACGAACATTTAGACCCTAAGCTTATTAAGAGCAAAAAAGAAATTCATATTTTATTCAAACTTGGGGCAAAGGACTCGGAATTTCTGATGGAACCTCAACAATCACGTACTTTCTGGAATGAACTTTTTTGCGTAGACTGCGCCATTTCTCGCAAAGCGGTCACGAGCTGTATGACATACATGTGGAATTAACGAAGTAAAAATGAAACTTCTTATGGAGGCATTTCTACAGGACCGGAAAATACGGAGGGATAAAAAAGACGAGACGTTTTCGCTATGCCATGCTTGCTTTGATATGAAAGTAGGGCAGAGGCGCACAGAGTAAAGTGACAAAAGAAGTGATTCATACACCCCCGCTCAGCGGAGATACGAAACTAGAAAATACATGGCACCAGCTCAAGGATCACAAAGTAATAAAGACAATGTACTTTGGAATCTAAGCGGACGACCATTAGTAGCGCCAACAATTTTCAAGGTCTCTAACCAAAAACAGCTCACCCCTGAAGAACTTGGGACGGGTGGTGAAGGGTAACGAGGAGGCAAGAAGGAGCACTGACGCATTCTTTCCCATTCATTATGAATGACTGTCCCTAAACCATGGACACAATTTGTTCACGAAAATGTGTCATGGTTTTAAATTTAACCAATCGGATCGCCGGGCTTACGAGCTCTCCTACTTCTCTTTAGCCGGCTTGGCCGGGCTGGCCTCAGTTTATGATGGAAAAGGAATTTGTTCATTTACTGAGCTGCTATTTTGAGCTGTATTTAAGGAATCGTAACAGATGGAGCAACCAGCGGATTCTGCACTCCTGAGTCCACGCTTATTGTTGCAGAAGGGGTGGTGTTATGGACAAATCTCGCTTCCTATCTGCATCGGAACGCCTACCGATCAGCGCTTTCCTTTTCTATTATGCAATCCATTCGATTACGTCGCATAAAGATTGCAGATGCTAATATTCCGGCTACGTACGTTAGTTATAATATACATTCTTTCTCCAGTATTATTGTTTACATCAGTAATTGAAAGTTCGAATGTAAAAGGGTGATATCACATTCAAAACACTACCTCAAATTGATACCACGACATAAATTGGTTCGCGACTCTGCTAGCAGTGGGTCCTTCCTTTCTTCAACCCACCAACTTCGCTTTCACTAAAGTAGCGGTGTGCTCTTGTTAAAGCGCATTGTACGCTTCCCAGTCGTACCCGCAGCACCCCCCCCCCCCCTCAGTGCCCCAACCCTTTCCCTACCCTGTTCCACTGCACCCGTTCACGTCAAACTGCCACACGAGCAACACATGCAAGTGCACGACATAAATTGTTTCGCAACCTTGCTAGCGGTGAATCATTCCTTTTCCAACTTATAGCTTTCAACGAATACTTCTTGTCTACAGTAGCTGCGTGCTCTTGTTAAGGCAGCGTTCAGACTTGTAGCGCTACAGCTGTACCAAACTCCAGCTTCCCTTTATGTTTTTTCTTTCTGAATTCAATCCCTTCTCTTTGTTTCTCATGTTTATCTGATCCTGAGCTCCTTTTTTTCTTTAACACTGAATTTTGATGTATTTTTGATTGAGCAATTGAAATTGATTGAACAATTTCGCAATCGGGATCAGCATGACGCACCACTGCAAG